CCCGCTCCCCCATTATGTTTTTAAAGCTGATCTTTAGACACAAATGATTGCAGCTCTGTCTTCATTAATGCATAATTAAATGTATTTCTTAAAATGCAAGCAGTATACAGTAAGTACATGCATATGACTCTTGCATTCTCTGTATAGCAGAGCTCAGACTAGGAGAGAGAGAGAAGCAGTACAACGAACCAATAGGTTTATCTACTGACAAGAAGCATGCTGATAGAAAGAGACAGCAGAGTGACAAAGATAAGCTCATCACAGTTCTGCTTTTCCTTTCACTGTCCATTCACAGGCTGGGGGTGGGCCCAGGATGGCTTGGGCTCAGAGAAAGTGTGTTGAATGATGCTGGACATCAGACTAAGGGGTCTAGTGACAGGAAAGAAGTACTGAAGGGAAGGGGAGGAGGGGGAGCTCCGGATTGAAAGTGAATAGCGCAAGAAAACTTGCTTTCTTTTTTAAATGTATCTTTAATGGATTGTCAGTTTTTATCTTTTTTTTGGCCAGAGCTCTGTTTTAAAGGAGAACTATGAGGTGAGTAAAAATCACTCAGCCTCATAGTTCAAGCCGACCTGTGACAATGAGACTGTCACACGTCGGCTCAATAGATCGGGAAGTGAGCGAACACATACCGGAATTCGCTCACTTCTCGATCTATCCGCGCAGAGAGCCGTGACTGCAACTAATGGCTCCCTGCAGGGATTCCCCCCCCTCCCCGATCCCCCTCCCCTCTCGACCCTACAGCGCTGAGTGGAGGAACGGACGGGCATAGATGGCTCTGCCTCCAGATAGGCAGAGTCAGCTGCCACTCACGCAGCTGGGTGGATCTCGACAGTATTGTCGGGATTCGTCCCTGCTGTGGCGGATTCAGTATACCGGGAGCTGTAGCTTGCGATATACTGAGCTTTGGCAATAAGTACTATCCTTGTCGCACTCCTTACCGATATGTCCCTTGTAGTGGGGGGTGATGGCAGTGACTGTGGACGGCGCAGCGAATGTCAGCAAAATTGTAGAAATGTCACCAGCACACCGGTCCTTTTAAGATGGCAAAAGCCTGATGAAGGGACCCTGTGCGGTCCCGAAAGCGCTTGTTTGGTCATATGACAAAAAACTTCAATAAATGAAGATTTTGCTATCTCTAAAGGACTGGTGTGCTGGTGACATTTCTACAATTATACTGAGCTTTGGGTGACGGGAGGACGCTAGGCTTATGTCCTCCCGTGACCCTTAGGAGAACTATGGGGAAAAACACTTACCCCATAGTTCTCCTTTAAGTAACCTACAGACTTATGAATTATTAGTTTGCCAGAACAACAGAATTTTTACGATAACATTACTGTGATAAGAAGAACACTGTTAACCCATCACAAGTCCCACCCTGTGGTGAGTACGTCTGTTTAAGAATCACATACAGCTTCCTTCGATACTCGTTTGCTGACCCTATAATAGCTCCCTAAGTATTACTACCTCCCAATATTTAACAACCGTGGTGCATGCTGAAACTCCCGTCACGACTACACCCATTCCCCTTCCCTTCCCCTCTCCTCTCATCACACCTCCCCCCCTCCTCTCATCACACCTCCTTGTTTCCCTATTATGTTCTTTTTGTACTAGTAAACATCCTCGCTGCCTGGACCCAGGAAGACCAAGTCCACTCAAGTCTTGGACGCAGCTTGAGCACGAATTACTAGAACTTGTAATAGATTTATATTCATTTTATTTCATAAGCGCAAAAACCACTGCTTGTAAAACTTTTACGTGCTGACACCCAATGTTTGGGTGCACGTACTGTTTGTAACTTAACTTTTATATGTGGAAAAAATAGAAAACCTTTTGAAACTAAAAAAGAATCACATACAGCATCACAATGCAACGTTTTCAAGAATAAAACTGCAACTAACATGTTAATTTTACTTTTTGTATTCCAGAATATGTATAGCTACAAGGTTAAGGCTCTGTTCACACCTAGGTATATCGAATATGCGCGTTTGTTGACGCACGTTTTTACCGCGATTCGCACGTTTTCCGAGGGCTACTTGGCTGTATCCCAATGGAAACGCGCAACAAAAACACCGCAAAGAAGCTCCTGTACCTTTTCAGGCGTAGGCCGTTTTGTAGCGCGTTCAGACGAGCTGAAATACGGCAAGGTGTGAACCATACCCATAGAAAACTTCCCTTCTCCGCTGCTGACATGTTGTGATAAACGCATAAAAATAGATATAAAATAAGAAACATATTGAACACAACTATCACAGGTGGACGTAGCCGGGGTGTTGCTTGTTGCAGTGCCTATAAATCCAACTCATACTTCACAAGAACAACGATTTATTTTAGTTTTCCTAAAAGACAAGAACGTGAAGTCGCCTACAGAATATAGACCACGACGAGCACCCATGATGCAGCCAACCAATGGTCATTCTTATGAGCGATTATGTATATTTGTATTATGTGTATTGAATATTGTTGGCTGTGTAGAGGGCAGGGGATAGAGATGTAGGTGCCAACGATTCTTAAGGGAAAATAATAGCATGTGGCCAAGAAATACCATCACAGGCAGTTGTTTCTTCTTCTCAGCAGCCCTGCCTATGGGACACTGAAGAAGACTTACAGACACAGTGCAATACCATTTGCCAATGTGAACAGATTCTTAAAGTGACACTAAGCTCAGGAGTGACATCTAAAAAATACATTCAGGTACCTCAACTATTAACAACAATGTATCTTATTTGTGTATCACTCGACTGTAGATCCTCCAATCGTCTCTGAATTGTTGCTGGCACTGTCCTTCCTTCTGGAGGGGGGCTACGTCTGTTCCCCATGGTCCCTGTGTGTGTTGTAAAGTAGTCACCGCTCCAAGCTCGCTCCTGGGATAGACTACAATCTCAGTACAAATGAGTAAACTAAACATGAGATTGTAGTCCTGTAGAGGAGTGAGCTTAGAGCGGTGACTACTTTACAACACACACAGGGACCATGGGGAACAGACGTAGCCCCCCTCCAGAAGGAAGGACAGTGCCAGCAACAATTCAGAGACGATTGGAGGATCTACAGTCGAGTGATACACAAATAAGATACATTTCTGTTAATAGTGAAGGTGCTTGAATGTATTTTTATGGTTTAACTCCGGAGTTTAGTGTCACTTTAAGTTTAGGTGTCTTAGTGGACCATCTAGGTACGCATGCTCAAACACAGGTGACCACATCACCATCACAGTTGTGACGAATCCTTATTCTTTGGGAATTGCTTGTTGGCTCACTTCTTTAGTAACAGGGATGAAGAGTTAATGCTAAACCTAACTATTACACAAACCGGTTGTCATTAAATATTTAATATTGGAGGTTAGTATGAATATATCCCTCCAAATGAGAGCTCAGATGATTCCAGTTAAGTGTACATTTAATGCTAAAGCATGCAAAGGCATTTGACACAACTAAGCACGCCAAACCTTGTGCTAATAGTTTGGTGAAGGCTCTTTCCTGTTCCATCATGACTGTCCCCTGTGCACAAAGCCAGCTCCATAAAGACAGAGTTTGATGAGCTTGGTGTGGAGGAACTGGAGTGTCCTGCACAGAGCCCTGACCCTACTGAACACCTTTGGGATGAATAGGAACAGCAACTGTGAGCCAGGTCTTCTCATCCAACATCAATACCCGACCTCACACATGTTCTTTTGGCTGAATGGGCCCAAATTCCCACAGTCACATTCGCATATCCTAAAGAAAGCCTTCCCGGAAGAGTGGAGGCTGTTATAGCTGCAAAGGGAGGGGCAATTTCATATTAATGCCTATGGTTGGGAATGGATGTCCAACAAGCTCATATAGGTGTGACAAACACACATATTGGTCATATAGCATAAAATGAATGGCCATGGTTTTGGAACAGATGTCCAGCAAGCTCCAATAGGTATGATAGTCTCACCTTTTGGTCATATAGTGTCATATTAATGGCCATGGTTTTGGGATGGATATCCAACAACCTCATTATAGGCGTGATAGACACACAAATTGGTCATATAGTACAATATTAATGGCCATGGTTTTGGGATGGATGGATGTCTAACAAAGCTCATATAGATATGATAGACACACGATTTGGTCATATAGTGTCATATGAATGGTCTTGGGTTTGGGATGAAAGTCCAACAAGCTCATATAGTAATGATAGTCACGCCATTGGGTCGTATAGTGCAATATTAAATAAAGGGCCAGGCCATGGTTTTGGAATGGATGTCCAACAAGCCCAGATAGGTATGATAGACACACCATTTGGTCATACAGTGTCATATGAATGGTCTTGGGTTTGGGATGAAAGTCCAACAAGCTCATATAGGTATGATAGACACGCCTTTTGGTCATATACTGTTATATGAATGGTCTTGGGTTTTCGATGAAAGTCCAACAAGCTCATATAGTAATAATAGCCACACCATTGGGTCGTATAGTGCAATATTAAAGGCCATGGTTTTGGAATGGATGTCCAACAAGCTCTTATAGGAGTGATAGGCTCAAACATTTGGTAACATGGTATATTTAAAAAAAATGCAGACCTCATCATTGAGAAATACCAGACATAGCTCTCCATTATAACTCTGCCCCATAGTTTGTTATTAGATCTAATGGTGTCTATGATCAGATTGTAGCGGTTATGGTAAACTGTTATAGCCCGGTCTCAGGCTCTGACACTCGGAATGGTACTCTGTGATCTGTGATATAGTGTTGGTAAGCGCCATGGATTATTAAGGCAGTGCTCTGGCATTGAGCTGTGCAGAGGGCACGGAAACCCACAGTGCTGTGATGAATTTTATCGCACGCATGGATTATACAGCAATATTCTCATATTTCCGATCCTGACGCCAAGTTTTGGAAATTAGTACATCTCACACAGATTTTTATTACACATTTACAGATTGGGGGGGGCAGTGGAGAGGTGCAGAATCCCCATAATACCCTTATACATGGAGTTACCCTTTAATCTCGAATATTTCAGAATGTAACACCTACCAGTCTCTCTCCACCGGCGTTACATCGATCCTCGGAAGTGCCACCAGAGGTAGGGTTGTTGGTCGGTGGATAAAATCCGGGGTCTTCGCCCTGCGCACCTGCCGCTGATGTAACGGCGGCAACTGCAGCGTCCCGGAGCAAAACCGCCTTCCTTTCCACAGATCTATTCCGATATTATATCCGTACGAGCTGTGGGATTTGCTGAGGAAGCACTCCGACAAATCCTGTACACTCTACAGAGACAAAGAAAATCCATAGTGAGTTTCTATGAAGGCTGACTCAATCAATGTCAGTGAAAATGGAGTTGGACTTACACATTGAAGGTTCACTCCAATGGAACATGAATACTTTGAAAGTTGTAATTACTTGTGGAACACAGTGGTCTGTGGATTGGCTCGATTTATTATCCTAGATACATGTTTTCCACCTGGTTGGCTAAATCCTTATAGATGCCAAAATGTTCTTATTGGCCCTGTATCTAAGTCTGCACTCTGCAACATGAGAGGGAGGTTGCACAACAAAGAATTATCTAGAAAGGGCTTGTAGTCTCCACCAGAAGCAGTCTGAAAAACATGCTGAATAAAGTTGTTTTGTTTCCTGGGCAGTGGTTCTCGGTCAAGAGAGACACAGAGAGCATGCCAATGCTCATCTCCTTCTAAAAATGCCAGCTGCCTGGCTCTCATGCTGTTTTACAAATAAACATTGAAAACATCACTAGGAATCACTGATTTCAGCGTAGTAGAAACTCTCAGTTTTACTAACTGAGTTTATTAGGTACACCGTGCTTGGGGAAAAAAAAGTCTATCCCTCCCCCCCACGGATCGCCATAGTGTGAACCTAGTTTCAGGAGACATTTAAAAACTCATTCATTTCTAAAAACCTACCTTCATTTTGCCTTTGTAATTGACTATATTTTTGCCAAAACATTGGGGGAAATGAAAAAGTTCAATTTCATCCTTTCAGTTTCTTCCGTTTTTTCCGGATTGTAGCTGGGATCTGGATCTCTGGAGATTTTTTACAGTTCTGGGTGGAATGAAATCTCAAGTCCTGAAGTCAGGTGTTGCTGGTGAGCAGCCTTATTAAAAGCCCAGACCAGAGCTCAGAGGAGAGTGTGTGGTGTGCGCTGGAGGCAAACGAGGGCCAAGGCAGGTGGTGTGCGCTGGAGGCATGCGAGGGCCGAGGCAGGTGGTGTGAGCTGGAGGCATACTAGGGCCGAGGCAGGTGGTGTGTTGAAGCCACACAAGGAACAACCAGGGAGGCTGGGGGAAACCTCACCTTTTATACTTCACAAAAAGAAAATGAGTACTATATTGTGGTTTTGTGCACTAAAATTAACGCAAATGTATTTTTTACTGAAATTTTGGGTTCGCTTTCAAGAAAGAGATAATTCTGTAGCGTTTAAATAATTTTCATGCCTAAAATGTCGATTATAACCAGAGGCATCCCCAGGCAGGATATCACCAGGAGTGTCCGGCAGCAATAAAATGCCATCACGGGATGCCATCACGCAGGTCTGTGACGTCATCAGGAGCATACAAGACGTTATCACACACGCGTGTGATGGCGTCACGCGCGGTTAACTGCTGGTGGCCATCTCAGTGATGGACGCCGGCAGAAAGAAGAGGTATGCCGCCGCGTCCGCTCCTGTCCTGTACAGTTGTCCATGACCAAGTGGACTGTGAGTCATTTTGGTGTCACCCCTTCTGAAAAGTCGGGCACTAGGCGGGTGACACCCGTCGGCCGCTCCGGGTGACTGTGAGTCATTTTGGTGTCACCACCTCTGACGGTGTCACCCGGTGCAGGCCGCACCCCCTGCACCCTCCCTGTGATGCCACTGATTATAACATGTGTGCAAAACAAAATGAAAAACCGGCTCTAGCAGCGAAAGGGTTAAATGAACAATGTTCCTGTTTGGCTGACGTTTGTCATGAATATATTTTGGTAACATTTCTGACTTGGTAAAAAAAATGAAACATGTTGAAGTTTTAGATAACGTTCTGGTAAAAGGAAATCCGTGTTACCTCTTCTGCTGTGACAGTCATCACACTTTGACTTTTCTTCATTGTAGCTCCTCGGTCTCTCTCATATAATCACAATCAGTTTTCTGGGAAGAAGCCGAACCTGGGCAAGGAGGAAAGTGTTACAATTAGCATAAAGTACAAGTACAAGCCGTATAAAATTCCCTTCAAACTGTTAGGACTTGTTCACACGATTTTCTGGTCCAGATCTGGAGACGCGGTATGCATGCAGTGCAGTGCGTTTTTGACGCGTTCGTGCATTTCCGGACCGGACAAAATGTGACATGCAGTATTTTTTCTGTCCGGACCGGAAAGGACTGCGCTCGAGAGAACTGTAGCCCATAAAACACATAGGGATACATTGGGATGCATTTTGGGTGCATGAGCGCACGGATCTGGTCCGGACAGAATCCGGACGTCGTGTGAACAGGCCCTTAAAGGGAACCAATGTACACCTCTATACAACCTCTATAGGATTTAAAAAGATGAGAGCGCATCAAAAATGTAATCTTTGTATAGGGCCCATTCACACCAACGCACTGCCTTACGTTGTAGGTGCATAATGCAGACCATTGCACGTTACACGCGCTATAACACACACCTGCTGGTATAAGCAGACCCCTGTTGTCTGGGTCCAAGGGTTAGAGAGCCAATCCAAACAGTACTCATCCCAGCTCAGATACTCGAAGTGTCAATCAGTGATGAAGAATGGATGTCAGTCTGGAGGATTTGGTGTTTTTAGGCAGACTTCATATGCAATGAGGCCGCCCTAGATAACGCCCATGTGTCATGCTGAGCGTGCATGATTGAAAGAACGGAAATCAAATGAATGAAAGGGACGGGCCAGGGATGGTCAGGAAAGAATAGATGATGCTGGATGTCCTCGAGCCCGGAAATGAGGCGGGCTCTATCTGGCTTGCTGCAGTTTCTAATGCGGTGACATCAGAGGAAGTAATTTCAGTTCAGGAGAGGAGCCGGTACAACTGTGCAAGACTGAAGGGAAGGCCGGAGTTCAGCTTTATAATGCTTTTCTCTCTGTGAAATGCTGTTTTCTGCCCTCCCCCTTCCGTGCTCTTTGCTGGCAGAGCTGAGTAATAGCCACGCCCCTCAGCACTAGTGTCCTGACATATTGCAAAGAAGGAAGGGAGTGTGTCTGTCCAGCTCTGTCGCTGACTTCTGATTAATGACAGCACTGGGTCTGAGTCAGAGGAGTTCAGCTTCAAGCATTACAGGCTTCTGCCCCTTTCTAGAGAGTCATGAGCTCATAGATTCCATACATTGGGCTAGTATTAGTTCCATCAAGGAAGGGATAAGGGGGGGGGGGGGGGGGGAAAATAGAAAAAAAGGG